ATGGTTCTCCAATCATTTGCCTCGAAGTCTTATTATTGTTGTCACATATTGAGGATCCCAAAAGGTGAAAATGTAGGGCTATAGCTGTTGTGTAGAAATGCAGTTAGTTCCCAAGATAAATTCATTTTTTGTTTCATCTCCTTCCTCTTACCATTAGCCTGAGTTTGTCCACACATATGGTGTCTACTGTCTTTTGAGCCCTGGTTTTCGCAACTCTTCATTTCCCGAATTGATGAATGAGATTTTGTACATACAGAAGGCAGAATTCTTCACGATTGTAGCACATCTCATATTAAAATACTGAATCTTACGCGAGTTTTGGTGAATGTTTCCATACATTACTTCAAGATAGTGTGTTAATCTATGTAATGTCCACAACGTGGCTTTGCTTAAGATGCAAATGGCTTGGTTAAGGTACAGGTTCAATGCAAATTTGGGTCCCTCGGCTTTCAATTCTTAAATCCTGAAACTCTTGCGAGATTAGTGGATCCAGTTGTAGGGGTTAATAACACGACCCTTTCATGTCAATGGCTATAGTTAACTAACCCATGTTTTACCCCTGCAATTTTTTTTTTGGAGGTAGTCATTGTTTTATTTTGATGTAAGAAGCTGATCGCCGGATTGACTGGAATGGTGATGGTCCAAGCGGTAAAAGTATTCAGTTTCGTCCTAAATATGACTTGTACTTATTTTAGTGTGTTTCCACCTAGTTTGTTGACGGATTCCAAAGTTGTACGGACGGATATGTGGAAATCGATTACAGTAGATTTTGGCTCCGTAACAGATGATCTAAATCATTATAGAAGTTTGCTAAGTCTACGGGGGGAGTTAAAAAGAGAAAGAGGGGGCATTATGAAAAGTTAGGAGGAGGAAAAATAAATAAATAACCTACGCGGTCGAAGAAAAAGCCATTGGAGCATAAGCTTGGAGAAAAAACCATTTTACTTCTTTTTAGGATAGATATATACAAGAAAAGGAGGTACGAATTAGTTAAGATTTTGTAGTGCCCAAATACTTGTATATTTAATCTTATATTCATATTTTCTCTCTTTAATATATATATTCTAATTTTAAGGTTCAGTTGCAATATTGCGTGGTAAAACATCAGACATTGTATGTGCTAAGCCTAAACGCCTGTGTTCAGAGTCGAAATATCCGGACATTCAATTCTTGAAGAACGTATCCATTTACTCTCGCAGGAAGAGTGAAAAAATCTGCACCATCTTTGCTAGAGAAATATGTAAAACGAGCTATGATATTGTAACTAATGGTACAACAAACATTTCATGATTCTGATTTACGGGATAACATGTTATCGTTTAGAAAACCTTGTATAAACTATTTCTTGAAATCGAAAGTGATCCTCTAAAAAACTGTACGATGTACAGAATTATTTTGCCTATTGTTCTTTAGGACGCAGGGATCCAACGATTCGAGACACCATCCATTGTAGGACATTATCTAACCTTTTTAGCCACGGTCCTAATGACCAAAAGAACTTGAGTTTGTATATCATACGAAGAACCTACCCAATGAATGTGGCTCCGTGGAGTCAATCTCTATGTGCGAAGCACACGTTCATGGAATTCATTATCATGTATTTAAGATATTTAAAGGCTCTTCATTTAACTTGTTTAAAAGCATTGGCAAATTGACTGAAAGTTCTCTGCCTTCAATTTTTTTTTTTTTTTATTTTAAAACATGCTAATCACGTCAAATTTTTCCTCCGGTAAAAAAGCTTTTAAAATCACTTGAAATTCGGTTTCTTGTTTTATCCCATTCTGGTACAAACACGCACCCAAAAAATAAAAAATAAAAAACTTGTTAAGGATTTTATTACCGCCTTGGGTGTTCATTTGAGGTAAATTTACAGCACAATGCAATCTCATCAGCGCACGCATTTCGCCTTTGGCGAGGTGCCCTTGTTGAAATTTGGTTAAGGTTCTAACTAGGAGAATTTCTCGCATGGGCTGGCAAATGAATTAGCAGATTTCTTGGCACACCAATTAAGGCTCTCGTGTTGCTCGTATTGGGTCGGATAAGCAGAGATTGCATTTTTTTCACCCAATTGTGAGATCCAAATTATGCCATATCATCGGCCTTTTTCTTGGTTTGATTGTTCTCTTTTCTAATGGCCTAAGAACCAGGAGAGAGAGAAGCGCTCTTTTTTTTTTTTGGTTCTTTTACTTGTGTTTCTGCCATGGTTTTCATCGACTTCGTTTTTCCAACCTGATGTCTGTCCTCACACAGCATATGCAGCATCTATTGTTCCGTATCATCTTCGTTTGCATACTTCCATTATCTGATACCAAGCTCATCCATTTATTTTGCTGAACTGCCACTAAATTATCTGATAAAACAAACTTTGTCCAAGCATGAATGTTAGAAGCAGTATGCTGTTTAGGACAAGAAAAATACAGAGCTTAAAAAAGAGTACTTTTAGCATTCTGTACAGTTTCTCTTTAAAGTTGCACGATTTGGGGCCATTAGACTCGGACAGCAACATGGTATTGCAGACAAATTCAGGAGCTTTCAAGGTTTAAAATGTTAAAGAACTCAGAAAACAAAAATACAAATTTTGAGTTGGGGGACTCAGTTTATGGGTGGTGATATATCAGGATGGTCGGCAAGGTATTCGCATTGAACACCATTACGCCGAACGAGACCAATATGATTCATTCATCACTGTCCCCAAAAGAGGGAAAAAGTTGAATCTTCTGTAACTCTTTCCCTCAAAAAAAAAAAATAATCTTCTGCAATATTCCAGAACAAAGAAATACTACAAACAGCGACGATACTTTTTGATTAACCATTAATGAAGGAAAAGAAAAAAGAAAAAAAAAATTAAAGAGCTAAATGGAATAATTTCATGGGAGTCAGAAGTGCCATCAGATAGGAGCGAAAGACTTTAGAAATTTTATAATCACGTTAAAAAATGATTTATCATTTGAACTATGCTTCTGATCATCACCTGACTTCACAATCTCCCATGACTCGATTAATTCCTTGTCTAAAACAAGTTTGAAAAAGTAGCCCTGTGTTATACCTTCTGGTTAATGAAGAATCAAACTTAAACGTAGCTAAAGTGAGAATCTAAAACGTAGCTTGAAAATTTTTTTAAAAAAAAACAAAACAAAAAGAGATGAAAAAAAAGGGAATAGAGTAAGAATAAAGTAGTATTGCCTCAGAAGGAAGGCAGTAGAGTGGTGTTGTAATCCCTGATTTCTCATACATAACATCATCACTGTAAATCATCATTGGCATTCTTCTATTACGTTCATCTTAAAAAGAAAAAAGAAAGCATTTTGGGAAAACAAAAGGAAACTCCAAACGGAATTTTTTTAAAAAATCACGATGATAAATAAAAAATAATCATCATGTTAACCAAAGTTTTGCTTGAAATGAACAGAGAGAGCACATACTCGAAAAGAAAACCCCAAAATAAAAACAGAACAGAAGAAACGTAGAGGGCCTCATTGAGAAGATTAGATCTGTCAACACAGCATAAATTCAGACATATGCTTGTCAATGTTTTAATGAAATTTAATCATAGGCCCAAACGCAGAAAATAAAATCACAAACAATATGGATGGAGGAAAATTCACATGCTCCAACAGGCTTTCGATTTACCTAAAAATACAGAAAAAGGAGAAAAGGAAGATAGAACTGAATCATAGAACTAGAAGACTAGAAGACTAGAAGACTAGCCCTACCCCAACCCAACGATCCCCCCCAAAATATTAGTGCTGCTGATACTTCTATCGACTCGCCACCTACTTATACACGGAGATATAGCGAGAGGGTTTTGGTGTTCGGGGAGGAACGGAAGAGGGAGCTAGGGTTTTCTGCCGTCTTCCCTTCTCCTCGCGCGCCGTTTTATTAATTGTGCTGAACTTGGGCTAGTCTTTTGAATCCTTGTATGGGCCATGGGCTTCAAAAGTATAGAGTGTGACTCATTTTGGGCCAAATGCGTTGCGGATTTCAACTGCTTAGCAAGGGGTAACAACTTTGACAACTTAGGTTAAAACTGAATCTGAATTTTGAAATCTGAATACTGAAACAATTAATTTGCTGAATTTTAAGCACTGAAAAGAATATATTAATGTCTGAATTTGAATGTTGAAACTATTTATACTATTTGATAAACATTTATAACTGAATGCTTAATAAGTTAAATTGTACAATTTTGCCCTTATATCTTTTCATCCAAAAAAGGAAATAGAACCTATGATTTAATTAACTTAAATTTGTTAGGTATGAAAATAATAATATTTATTTTTAAATCAAATTAATATAAAAAAGATGAAATATATTATATGAGAAGTATGGAGAAGATATGAAAGTCATTAAAAAGAGAGAAAAGAGAAGTAGAAAATCGTTAGATAGAAAATATCAGATTATTTAATTATATAAGGATTTTGAATAGAGAATATCATATTGTTTAATTAGATAAGAATTTTAAATATAATTAACAAATGAAGGTAGATTTGATAGATAAAATAAGGTAGTTGAAGTAATTCTATTGATTTTTATCAGAATTAAACATTCAGTTACGATTTTTGTACTGAAAAAAATACATACAAGTTTAGCACCGCTTAACAAGTTCAACAGCTGGATTTTTACTTATCAAACACCCAAAATATCCAAATGTCTGAAAAAGTTCAGTTTCACCACTTTTTTATGTTATCAAACAGATCCTTAGGCTCATCTCCTCAACCTCATAAAATCTTCTTTCCTTCGCTCACAAATTGTAAGCCTTGCGTCTTTAAGTCCAATTCAGCTAGTAGTAGGCGTGTAGATGAGATAAAAAGGTGATTGAGAGATATATTTACGAAAAAAAATAATTTTTTTTTCAAAACTAATTAGTGTGTTTGAATCAGTCCTACTCGACAATCTGTTCGGCAGTTACGAATCAGAGAAAAAGGCGTACCAGTTACCTACTTTTTCCCCTATTAGTATAACACGGCACAGAAAGACTCCCCACCAAAAAAACCCACAAGAAGTTAAAGTAAAGCCCCAGATCAGTTCCAGTCCAAATCAAATATCTTCTTTCATGATTTACTTTGATTGGCTTGCTGCAATCATCTCAACACATGCATGCACCCTATTTACCGTTGTGTGGGATCACAGGAAGGAGAAAAACGAGTTGAACTTTCTTCAATCATTTGGACATTGGAGAGGCGTAGGGAGGGCGAGTCGCTTACTCCATGCAGATGTACCCAATTTGAAGGCAAAATAGAAGACCTTCTTAATTCTTGTTGACTGCTTATGGGTTTGGTAATTGCATCTTGTACTCAATTTGGCCGGGAAATATTCGCTTGTTTCTGTCTGCATTGAATTGGAAAGATACCATTTATAGCTTGGGAAGATGATACACGCCAAGTCTGAATCAGATTTTGCAACCTTATCCCCACCATCCTCCTACCCTGCCTCCCCTAAACCTCCCGTGTACTACGTACAAAGCCCTTCTCTCGATTCCCATGACGATGCGGACAAAGCATCTGCTACCGCTTCTTGTCAAGCCACCCCAGCTTACAATAGTAGTAGTAGCCCAATGGAGTCTCCTCGTACCTCAACCTATGGGAGGCAATCCAATCCCAGATCTTCGTCGGCCAGCAGGGTCTCGGGGAATTGGCGATGGCCGAGGATCAGCAGGAAGAGAAGTGGCAAGGGATGGCAAGAATGCAGTTTAGTTGAAGAGGAGGGTGTTTATGATGATTCGCATGAAGATGATGAGAAAAGGTCACCTTTATTAGCAGCTTTCGTGGGGGTTGCAGTGGTTTTTACTGCGTGTTGCGTGATCATCTGGGCCGCTAGTAGGCCTTACAGACTTCAAATCAGCATGAAGGTATATCCTTTACTTAATTCCTTAATTTGCTGGACTGATTCATACATGGATAATGCCACTATCAACGAAGATCTTTGCAGAGAAAAATTGGAGCTAACGTTAGTATTAAATTGAAACTTCTCCCTTTCACAATTTTAAGTTTTCATGTCAGAGATTATATCCATTTGACGAACGTGTAACTAGTTGAATTATCAGAGCTTACAGTAATTTACTTGTGCCCTTACAACGTCTGTATCTTGATGAATTACCAGAGCTTGAGAGTACACAACTTTTATCTCGGGCAAGGCTCCGATCGAACTGGTGTTCCAACCAAGTTGCTTACAGTTAACTGTACAGCAACCATGTCCATTCACAACCCTGCTACATTCTTTGGCATTTATGTCGGATCCAAGATGGTTGATCTAATGTATTTCGAAATGACAGTTGCAACTGGTGAGGTAAGCGTCTCAATACCGTCTCTGCCTGCCTCACAGAACAATGTTTATACCTAAAGTAAGAGCTTCTCTTTTTGGTAAAATTCCTGTTTCATTGACAGTTTGCGTTTCGTTTTTTGAAGTTGAAGAGATATTATCAACCAAGAACAAGTTCAAGGACCATATCAGTGAACCTAGATGGGCGTAGCATTCCTCTCTATGGTGCAGGGGCAACATTAGATGATGATGACACAGAGGTTCCACTGAAGTTGAACATGGAAATCCAATCACTAGGGTATCTAGTTGGTAAGTTGGTCAAGACCAAATACCAAAAGCGCGTCTCTTGTTCCATGGTCTTCAATACTGAACGCATGGAGGAAATCAAATTTCACCCAGATTCTTGTATATTTAATTGACTGCGAACTGCAAAGAAGCCCTACGTTATAATTTTAACCTCCAGTAAAGCTTGTTCTAGCCATAGCTCAAGCAATTCTCAAGACTCTGGAAGCAATTATCTTTAACTGTAGTGTTTTATTTGTACATAATTGATCACTATTGTTAGAACATCAATTATTAGTCGTCTCCACAATATAACTGCCCTACTGTAAGGTATCAAGCTTGAGGTGTCCAACTTCGGTAAATGAACAGGCAGAAGCAGAAGTGGTAAATTCGCAGAAATACTTACTTGTATGGCACCTGAAATGTTTTGAGCAACTACCTGCACCCCACCCCCTCCCCCTCCCTCTCCCCACTCCCGGGGGGAAAAAAATCTCTGCACTGCCTGCAGTCCAACAGAGTTGTCAATCCTTGTCAAGTACATTGAAGAACTCTAATCATGTTGCTGTGCACTCAAATTAATGCTTTTTCTACATTACTTTAGTCCCTGGTAATGATTTTACATAGAGCAGGGGTAACCTAAGCTAGAAGATGGTATCCAGGCCACGACAGATATTCACATTCTCGCTGCAACGATTCCATATGCAAAGAGTGACAAGAAGCTGTTGATTTCCAATCCTTTTCAATTCACTGAATCAACATTAATCAGTTTTTATGCATCGCAATCTACCAGAGAAGATACAGGGTTTGATAACGAAATGACTCCAAATATTTCTCCCAAGTTATGTAAGATACAATGATACATAACATCGATGAAGAATCATCCCAATCTCATTTGCTGTTTTGGATACACAAGGCATTTCCAACCCCAGAAAACATCGCATTCAATGAAAAGAATGTATCTTTTATCAGGTACTAATATTACAAACAATCAGCTGTATCTATCAAATGGCCCTGAGATCACGGGCAGGTGACGGGAGTGAGAATCTTCTAAGGCTACATATGGTGCAATGAACACAAAGGAACATGCACAGGAAATTAGTAACAAGGCCTTGATAAATTATACCATCTCTATGAGATATTACTCTTCCATCTCTAATTAACATTTTCTCTAAAATTGAGAAATACAAAGGAGAACAAATCTGCACCTTCAATTATTAGGCGACTCAGATGGTGTATTATTTGCTGCCAAACTAGTCTCCTGCTTGTCAAAGACACAGCTTTCTGGAAGCACTGTGCTACCTATCCTAGTTAGAGGCCAATATCGAAATATCGATCTCCCTATAATATTCTTTAAGGGCAGGGGACCCCTAAAAAAGGAACATATGTTAAAAACAAGTTTAAAGAATAACAAGCATTAAAATGATATCTACAACTCCACAAAAGAAGGAAATAAAGTTACCAAACATGTGAGTCGTAGCTGTTATTTCGATTATCACCCATCACAAAAACTGAGTTCTCGGGTACCCTCTGCACAAAGATTAAACACTATCTTTATGAGAAATTCAAATTCCGAGTCCATGGAATAATCAAAACATCTAAAATCGTAATACCAATACATAACATTACAGCTTAGAACCACCCCGTCCTAATTGGGATAAGTCTTTGCTCAGTTAGTGTTATGGATCAAAATCCTTGTATGCTTCAAAAATATATATATATTCTTTTAACACACAAAACACCATCCTGAATAGGAGCCACACAGAGCAGAAATCAAAGCAATAAAATGAACACAAAATGGACTTACAATCGCTGTCATCTCATACTTGGGGCCTTCAAGAATAAAATCTTCACCTCTTACTACCCCGTTTACCACAAGCTTCCCTTCATGAACCTGCACAAAAAAGGATTGTCCAAGATAAGTAAAAGTTGTTTACCATCTTGCTGAGACTAACTATAAGTTTAAGAAAATGGATGCTAAACACATTTTAAAATAGTCAAACAACAGAAGAAAACAAAATATTTTCCAGCCAGCAATTCCAGAAAGACGGAAGTCTAACATCATACAAGTCCCACCATCTGGCTAATTCCCTTTCACCTTGTATACAATTATGACAGCAAAATACCAGTGCTTGAGGACCAGAAGCCACGAGTTAGTGGCAGATCATGGAAGGTCTACTGGGCCCATCTCTAGGCACGATTATCCTGTATGAAGCACACAACTAATCCATATACTGTAGCATCTTCTCCAAACAACTATTCCAGTGCCAAAGTTTCATGATGGTTCCGGAATACAGAAAGAAAGAATAAAAATGGCAAGTTTAACTCTAATGTGAAATAATACTTGGGTAAAATGAAGTAATACATGTTTTTGTGAAAGAATCCTGAATAAAAGGTGCCCAATTTGCTAAACAAGACACAATAATTTGCAGAAGGTCCCTTTTGACGTCACTCTAGTATCTGCATGTTAATTTATTCTGCTTTCCATGATTAGAAGATAGGAATACAAGTGAACAATCTCAATATATGTAATTCAGAACAATAAACAGTTTCTAATTATTTCTTACTTTTTGATCAAATAAGATTACATAACCAATAAGTGGCGACAAACTATTATTCTAAGACCAGGCATCTGAATATCAAACCCAATGGCAATTCTAACAGTGCACCGGATTAGCATTAAAACACAGCTTAAACAGTAATGCATATTTGAGAGCCACAACAGGAAAAGAGGAGATACCTCAACAGTATCTCCTTCCTTTGCAACAACTCGTTTGATGAAAACATCATCATCCGTATACCCTACTTCCTGGAGAACTGGAGGGCTTTTAAAAATTACAATATCATTGGGACAGGGCCTTCTGAAATAGTAACTGACCTGGAAATATTGAAGGTGAAAGTAATTGAATATGCTATCAAGATTCTCACTTTGTTGCTTCATTAGCAATCCTAAGAAATATAAGTGCCAAATATAAATATAGAATGCTTTCTTTCAACTATGAAGGCTGTAGGATTCAAAACCATTACATGCTCGTAAAACACATGCTGGAAACATAGTTCAGAAGATTGCAAACATGGATGGTGTGTTTCTGTAACCCATTGGCAATTAGCATCCTTACTGGCTTCACTTCTGATAATTCGAAGAGATGTTCAATACAATGGTTATGTCTTTTCAGATAATCAACACAGGATAAAACTTTCAACTTCTTTATCAGTACAAACTATTAGTGAACATTTAAAATCATGACCATAATAGAAAATAAGAAACCGAAGCCAGCTGAAACAAGCATTAACTTAGAACAAGAGTCAGAATGAGTTTATTTGCAACTGCTAAACCAAGGAGAAAACGTCATCAGTCACAATCATAGAATCACATTAAACCTATCTGCAATTGCCAAGGCAGCTGACCAAAGCCTCTCATAAACCAAGCAGTGTCTGGAACTTGGTCAACTAAGTTCATCATTCTTCATCAACAAAAAATCTAAGCAGTCAAATATCGAAATTGATTCTTAAATACTGTCTTTTCTCCGTAGTACAATTCCTGAATATCAAATATGATGTCATCCTCGTACGACATAAGCCTCAGTTTTGGTTCTAAAAGATTGCTAAGTCTTGATTTCAATTTCACATACTAAAGGTTCAAATTCACAAGCAGAGATTATAATACTAAACGAATTAAAGACAAACAAATGGCACAAAAGTACTACCTTTTCAGCTACAACTCGATCCCCAACATCAAATGTGGGATACATGGACAATGAAGGAATATATCTTGGTTCAGCAATAAATGATCTAAATGCAAGTGATATAGCCAATGCTGCAAAAACTGTTTTTGCATCATCAGAAGTGAAATTCAACCATTCTGGCAAAAATTCAGAACCTTTCTCAACATCCCCATCCTCTCCATCACCATCTCCTCCGTCTCCACCACCGCCCCCGCCGCCTTCTTTAGTGTCCAGGACAACCTTGCTCTCTTGATTGGTGTCTTTAAACCCTTTACACTGGAATCTGTGAAACTGAGATTTTCTTGAGAATTTACAAGCTAGGAGCTTGGGGAGAGCGTGTTGTTGGATTTTGAGAAGAGGGCTTGAGCTTAGGGAGATAAAGTTTGAATCTTTGGAGGGACTGAAGCAACGGACACCTGGGAAGATGTGGCCTTGAGCTTGAAGAATAGGAGATTGAGGGAGAAGCTGTAGAGCCATCATGTTGCTCTGTCACAAACAATCGATTCTGTCTACTCACTCTACTGTCATAATAACTTTTAGTACTATCTTCATGGTCATTAACTCGGAATATTAAATAGGAATAAGGAGTTTACTAGTACAATTTTTTTTCTTTCAGTAAATGAAGCTTTTTCCGGTGTAAAACAGTATAGAGCAATTAACCAAAAATAAAATTTGGGATGCCCTAAATATTACTGTACGAATACTTGTGCATCATATTCCTCAAAAAAAAAAAAAAATACAAAAGGCAACATACTCACTAATCTCCAATTTCAATAAAAATAAGAATACATGGTTATACCAAACAAGAACTTAAATTTGTAGCCTTTAAATATTCCTCCTTACATGGAATAAATTCCTTACTTTCTTAAATATTATTTTCCTTTTTTCGCAAAGAAGATTAATAATGGATTTCACCTGTATATCTTTAATGTTCCTAAATCAGAGCCTATTGATGACAGGTTTTAAAGACCGACTCAACTCTTGTATAGGATTTAAGAAATGCGGATAGAGAAGAAAAGATTTGAATACGGATCTGTAAGTTTTAAAATTTCAACGTTAAGTACTAAACTAAATCTCTTCGATTAGGACTAGAACAACATTTAAATTTGTATATCCTTGGGATTGATGCGCATCTCTTTGAGATTCCGAGAACAACTCATTTAACCAAAATCATAACCAGCAATACCAATTCCTCTTTCACTGTTTCACCTCTTACGTTCTTTTTTTTTTTCGTGTAACGACACATCTAATTTAGTCTAACCTACTCCTACTTCTAAAATGGGGGATGGGGGAAACCTACTCCATCGAAACTCCCTCAAAAGGAGTTGACCATCACATTATCTATGGGATGGGAGGTCAAGGGTGCAAACCTTGCCTCCTATCAATGTCCATACAGGTGGGTGGTGCACCCGTATGATCTGATGGTGGTTCAGTCCTCGTCAGGCTCGCACCTCTTACGTTCTCTTTAAGCATTTTTATTTAGCCATTTTATCATGGTTCAGTGGCCACATTTTCTTGGTAATTCTCTCATCATCTAAGTGCATTTATCAAACGTGCTTCAGTTCTGCTATTCTTGATTTACAATTTTTGGTT